CACTATTTTACAGTCCCTCCACCCGTGTACAAAGGTCCAATTTCTCCATATCCTCCCCAACACTTGTTATTATCTGTCTTTTCACCGCTACCCATCTGAGCAGGTGTGAATGTAATTGTAATTTTGATTTGCATTTCCCTAATGACTAGTGATGCTGAGTATCTTTTTATGTACTTGTTGGCCATCTGTACATCCTCTTTGGGGAATACCTCTGATTTTTTAGACCCTGGAGACACCAGAATTGCTCAAAGTCTTCAAAGACTTCCAATTGTGATTTAGGATATAATCCGAGCTCTACCAGGCTTTCCCGATCTGTCACAATCTGACCCCCACTGACTTCTGACCTCTTTTCCTTCCACACTTGCTCTTGCTTGCCCTGCTTTCAGCCACATCGGCCTCCCTGGTCCAGGCTCAGGGCCTCTGTACTTGCTGTTGCCTCTGCCTGGGACATTCCTCCCCCAGTGTTCACCATGGCTGCTTAGTTCCCTCTTGCCGCTGTAACGAAGTACCACAAATTTAATGGCTTAAAAACAACACACATTTATCATGTTACAATTCTGGAGGTCACAAGTCCTAAAATCAAGGTGTTGGCAGGGTTGCATTCTTCCTGGATGCTCTAGAGGAGAATTCATTTTCTTGCCCAAATGTATCAGCTTCTAGAAGGCTGCCTGCTTACGTTGGCTCGTGGCCTCTCCCTTCCACCTTCAAAGCCAACAGCAAAGCATCTTCAAATCTCTCTCTGACGTCTGCTTCTGTTATTATATCTTCTCTGAATCAGACACTGCTGATTCCCCCTTGTAAGGACCCTTGTGATTACATTAGGTCCACTCCAATCATTCAGATAATCCCATCTCAGAACCCTTAATGTGAGCCCATCTGCAAAGTCGCTTTTGTCACTCAAGGTGGTTTTGGGGTTTAGGATACTGACATCTTTGGAGGGCCATAGCCCTTCTGGTCTCAGTTCATACTTCACCTTATTCCAGAGGCCCACCCTGCCCCCCTGTTACTCTGTACCACCACTGTGTTTTATTTCCTCTGTTCCACTTAACATACTTTGATATTACCTCATTCCTTATTTATTTATGTGTCTCTCTCCCTGGAGAATGTAAGCACCATGAGTGCAGAGACCTCACCCATCTGGTTCACTCCTGTATTCCCAGAGTCTAGGACAGCACCTGGCCAGTGGGCAGACATTCAACAGCCACTTGAACAAATGATGAGCTGAAGGATGTAGGAATGGCAAGGACGGGGTGGGTGTGCACTTTTTACCCCACTGAATTGGCTTTGGCCCATGGTCAGCCAGCTCTCCGTGTTGGCTTGGGGCTCGCTGGGCTGGGAGCTAGCCATGTTGCCCGTTTAGCTGCTCCTTGCCAGATCACAGTATTGTCTGGCTTCCTCTTCATCAGCACTAGTGATCGCCATTGTCCTTCCATTACTAAAGAGTCTTTGTTTCTGTGAGTCATTTAGAAAAGAAAAGAGGGTACTTGGGTAGCTCAGTCAGTTAAGCATTTGACTGTTGGTTTTGGCTCAGGTCATGATCTCCTGGTTTGTGAGTTCAAGCCCCGCAATGGGCTCTGCACTGACTGTGCAGGGCCTGCTTGGGATTCTCTCTCTCTCTCTCTCTCTCTCTCTCTCTCTTTCTCTCTCTTTCTCTTTCTTTCTGTCTCTCAGAATAAATAAATAATAAACTTAAAAAAAATAAAAGAAAAGATAGTCCCTTAGGGCAGATTGTGGTACTGGGGGGTATGTGGGGTGGGAAGATCCTTTGTCAGGTGGTTTAGAAAATCACATGGCCACATATGCGTGCTCTTTGGATTTGGCAACTGTTGGGAGACATTGTGGCTGCTTCCTGTTCATTTCCCTATGATTACAGTGGCATCCATTTTTTGTCTTAGGGGAAGACAGGCTTCTTACAGCGTCACCCACCCAGGTGTTTTCCAAAGGGCCCGAGGGCAGGAGTTGCTTTGTTGGACTGCTCTGCATCTTGCTCAGTCATGCATGTGCTAGCCTTTGTGCATTGCCCTGCTTTGTCCCGGTCTAGCTGTGTGATTTTGGGCAAGTGACTGCCTCTCTCTCTGAGCCTTCTGTTTCCTCATCTACAAAATGGGAGTGAGTTGCTGAGATGCTTAGAGGACATGTTAGGGTCTTTCGTGTTTTCTCCTTCTCTTAGCCATAGAGGAGTCCCATTAATCCTGACAAGGGTCATTTGACCCTACATCACTTCCCACTGGCCAGGAATCATTTCAGGAGGCTATGTCGTATCTGTTTCAGAGGGCTTTGAGCATGAGGCAAGGCTTACTACTCTCAGGTGAACGAACTCCTGCAGGATTCAGGGACTCAGATCCGGTGGGATGGTCCCACGTGGTCTTAACCACAGGGAACAAAACCAGGTTTTCATAGAACGTAGATGGCTTAATAATTACAGTTAACACTTATATCATATTTTCTATGTATGAAGCATTAGTCCAAGTACCTCTGTATATATGACTAATCTGATCCTTGAAATAGCTTCTGAGGCAGGTGCTATTGTTATCCTCATTTGCAGATGAGGAAACTGAGGCACAGGAAGAGGTGAAGGTCCTTCCTAAGTGGCAGAATAGGATTTTGAACCCTGACCTCAAAATCCAAAATCTAGGCCCTGAACCACCCCTGTCCTGTCCTGCTTATATAATATGTATTTTTATATCTGTAGAAAAGTTTGGAAGATTAGAAGCAAAAGTATGACCAGTGTGGGATGATCACAGAGACTTTGATTTCATCCTGTTAGCCAATAATGACCAAGTATTTCTTGTGTGTGCTGAGAAAAGAGTTGGGAACCAGGGCCCTCAGTGCTGACTCATTCCCCCAAGATCTCTATCTTGCCTTGATCCTGTTTTAAGGGCCTGGTTAGATGTTGATAGGTTAATGCGTTAAGAATTGTCACTTTCATGCAAATGTGCTTTCATGGAAATGTTCAAAGTGCAAGGCACCTCAGGGCTGAGTTCCTATTTCTCTTGTGTTGCCTGTAAGGAAAGCGCACCCCACAAAGGTGTGGTGGAACACAACACCAGGGTTTCTGTTTTTCCCACTACCTCTGAAGAGTGGGAGGCGTGCTGTGCTGGTGAACAGGTGAATAGCTGGGTACATAGGGAAGGGGGCAGGGAGAGGTGTGGGGGAGGTGTTCCTTCCTCTTCCCTCCCCTCTTTTCTCTCAGCTTCTAGAAGCAGCCCCTGACCCTGCTGACATCATTTCCCACTGACCAGGAATCTGGCCTGGGGTTTCCAGTGACTAAAGTTGCAACTGAGAACTTTCCATCCCCTAACAGGCTTTCTCTCTGCAGAAAGATTGAGGCTGTCTCAGTCTTTCCCATTCCTCCAGAGGGAGGGGATTGTGCAATGTGATCATGTCACTCCCTGGCTCTGAGGTCTTCTGTAGGTAGTGTCTGTGGCTCTTAGGATCAAGTCCAAACTCTATATAGCCTGGCCTTCGAGGCCTTTAATGTAGTCCTGAGTTTTATCTCTTGCCTCCCCTTCCCCACTCAGTTCACTTATGTTTGTATTTTTCAAACAGAAATCTCCATGGGCTTCTGGTTTATTCACCACGGTATCTCTACAGTTTGTCACAGGCTTGGAGCACAGAAGTGCTCAGTGATGTTTTGCCGAATGAATGAACGAATGAACGAACAACTTGATGTTTATATGCATTCCTGTTCCATGATTTCTGAAAATCTGGAACTGAAGCGTGATTATTTTATTCCTAATTAGGACAAAAAAAGCCTCCTTCACTTTAGTAAACTCAGTGGAATACATGTGACCATTCAAAATGCCATTTAGGAAGAGTTTGTAACAACTCGGAAAATGCTGATGGTGTAATGATAGTAAATGAGAGCAGGATGCAAAATCTTACAGTCCAGCAACAGTGCATCTAGAACCGCTCCTGTGTGGAGGGGAGGGGAGAGGAGAGTTATGGAAAGAAAAAGTACCCTAGTGGGATGCTGTGTAACATGTTATATTGGTGGTTTTCTTCCCTTTTTTTCCCAAGTTTTCTTTAGTGAACAACCATTAATTTTATCATGAAAAATGGAAAGCAGGAATGCTTTATATTTAGTATTGCCAGCAGCAGCCACCTGCAAATTTTGTAGTGTTTCTGAGTTGGCAATGTGCTTTTAGATGCATGAGCTCTCTTTTTTTTTATTTTATTAAAAAAATTTTTTTAATGTTTATTTTATTTTTGAGAGAGACAGAGTTCCAGTGGGGGAGGGGCAGAGAGAGAGGGAGACACAGAATGTGAAGTAGGCTCCAGGCTCTGAACTGTCAGCACAGAGCCTGATATGGGGCTCGAACCCATAAACCATGAGATTGTGACCTGAGCTGAAATTGGATGCTTAACTGACTGAGCCACCCAGGCGCCCCTAGATGCATGGTCCTTCTTGATGCCTGTAACAGTTCTATGAGGATGCTGGGCCATGGGTTCATTTGTTCCTTGGTTCTTTCATTTGTTCATTCATTCATTCATTCATTCATTCATTATTCCCCCTCCCTTGCTGCCAAGGCTAGGACTTAGGGGTGAGGAGAATGAGATGCCCAGGGCAAAATTTAAGGAGGCACCTACTTTCCAGCTACTTCTCTAGCTTCTGAGATCAGCCCTGAGAGTGAGCTTTTGCCCCTGAGTGCCTTAAGTTTTGCTGCTGAGTGCCTCCTTTGCCTCACCTTGGTCCTGGTCTTGCCCCCACTCTGTACCAGGTGCTGTTCTCTGCTCTGGGGATCTAACAGTGGACGGAACAGATAAAACTCCCTGTCTACATGGAGCCTCTGTTCTAGGAGGGGAGGCAAGAGAAGTTCTATTACCTGCCCCCTCTTACAGTTGAGGAAACTGAGGCTCCTACCAGTGAGGTGACTTGCCCATAACGGACAAGCAGCTAAAGCTCAAGGTTGCCCCTGACCCTCTCCTCCAGTGGGCTCTCTCCTAAGTTTTGTGTGGCTGTGAAGTTGATATTTACACTGTGTCGAAGTGCCAGTCCCATGGGTGTCAGGGGGACTCAGTGCTATAAATTGGGCTGCCTGTGGACCCCAGCTACAGGTAGAATTTCAGGTGTGAAGGGGAGCAAGTGAGAAGCTACTGCGGACAAAGACCGCTAGCCTGGTGACCCTCTGGTGGAAGTACTGCCTTTCTGACGCTGAGATGGCCTCTCGCTTGCCTTCCAGCCTCGTATGTGATCACAGACCTGACCCAGCTGCGAAAGATCAAGTCGATGGAGCGGGTGCAGGGCGTGAGCATCACGCGGGAGCTTCTGTGGTGGTGGGGCATGCGGCAGGCCACCGTCCAGCAGCTGGTGGACCTTCTGTGCCGCCTGCAGCTCTACCGTGCCGCCCAGATCATTCTGAACTGTGAGTATCCAAGGTGGCCCGCTCAGCCGCCCGCGAGCAGGTTTCCGCAGGAGCCGCACCCTCTGGCCTTGGAACTTTTCTTCACCTTAGAAAAAAAACGTAACTGACAGAATTTACCACCCAACTAAGAAATTACCTCTGGGAGAGCAGTTGGGTGGCCAGGGAACCAGATATTGGAGAGAGACTTTTCTATAAGTTCTTCTGTACCTTTAAAAGTCTGCTTCTCTATTCCAAAAGTACATTTAAAAATAACGATTAAAAAGATAGCTATACATAAAAATCCAAAAGAGTCTACAGTAAAAAATGATTTATGTCGTCATCCTATATTCTCAGTTTTAATTCCCCAAGAAGGTAACCACTATTAACAATGTCATGCCTATCTTACTGGAAGTTTTCTGTGCATTGGCTAACATATATGTGACATCAACAACTACTTTTTTTTAAAGATTTTATTTTTAAAGGAATCTCTACAGCCAACGTGGGGCTCAAACCCACAACTCCAAGATCAAGAGTCAGTTGTACACTCCACTGACTGAGCCATCCAGGTGCTCCTGTATTTTGAGTTTTTAAAATGATTTTATTTTATTATTTTTATGTGTATTTTTTAAATGTTTTTTTTTGAGAGAGAGAGAGATAGAACAAGCGGGGGAGGGGCAGAGAGAGACATGGGGATAGAGGATCCAGAGCTGGCTCCGTGCTGTCAGCACAGCAGTAAGCCCGACATGGGGCTCAAACTCACTCTCGAACCATGAGATCATGACCTAAGCCAAAGTCAGATGCTCAACTGACTGAGCCACCCAGGTGCCCCTTAAGTTTTGGTTAATGTTTGTACCAATATTACTGGAGCACCTGGGTGGCTTAGTTGGTTAAGCATCTGACTCTTGATTTCGGCTCAGGTTATGATTTCAAGGTGGTAAGATTGAGCCTGCATCAGGCTCTGCACTGAGCGTGGAATCTGCTTAAGTTTCTTTCTCTCTCTCTCTCTCTCTCTCTCTCTCTTTTCTCTTCTTTCTCTCTTTCTCTCTCTCCCTCCCTCCTTCTGCCCCTTCCCCGCCAGTGTGCTCCTTTCTCTCAAAAAAATAAAACCGGAGAGCCCATGGCTCAGCTCAGTTGAAGATTTGCCTGGGCCATGATCTCAGGTCTGTGGGTTCGCCTCATGTCGGGTGCTGACAAACAGGAGCCTGGAGCCTACTTTGGATTCTGTCTCCCCCTCTCTCTGCCCTTCCCCTGCTCACACTTTGTCTGTCTGTCTGTCTCTCTCTCAAAAATAAAATAAAACATTAAAAAAATAAATAAAAATTTAAAAATTAAAAAATATTTTGACTGCATAATAAATTACCTCTACCTGCCGCTTATTACAACAGTGGTGGGAACGTATTTAGCAGGTAAGGACCGTTCTCTCAAGCCATGAAGAGATGCTGCAAAACGAAGTAGAATTGCTATGCCTTGTGTTCAGCCAATGCTTAGCAGAAGGCAGGTAGGGTCATGGCTACTCCCATCTAGAACCCACCCCTTCTCATGTCTCCAAAGAGACAGTGTGGGGCAGCAAGCCAGTCTTTATTTTTATTTATTTATTTTTTTAACGTTTATTTTTTTAAATTTTTTTTTCAACGTTTTTTTTTTTTTTTTTGATAGAGACAGAGGAGGACTGACACTGAACCGACCACCCAGGCGCCCCTTTAACGCTGCATTTTGAGACAGAGAGATATAAGAAATAGAGGGGCAGAGAGAAAGAGGGGAGACACAGAATCCGGAACAGGCCTAAGCTGTCAGCACAGGAGCCCGGCTGGGCCTCAACTCACGAACCGTGAGATCATGACCTGAGCTGAAGTCGGACGCTTAACCGACTGAGCCACCCAGGCGCCCCAACAAGCCGGTCTTTTAATAGGTACTTTCTGAGCCCCTGCCTAGTGCCTGGTGCTGTCCTAGTTTCTAGACGACAGTGATGGGCAAAGCGACAGGTCCTTTGCCCTCATGGAGGATATAGTCATATGAAGATATAATCAATGGACAGGAAAATAAATAAAAATAATAGGTTGGAGTGAGCAGGCGGGAGAGTCTCCTAGAAGATGTTAGTCATGGAAGGCTAAGAAGTCGGAGAAGGTGAAATTGGAGGGATGGAAAGAAGACAGCCATGTGAAGAGCTGAGGTAAGAGAGCCCAGGGAGAGCACTGGATTTTGAAGGAACCAGCATGAAGCTGGTGTGGGAGTCAAGAGCAGTGCATTCTGAGCCACAGAGACCTGCAGAAGACCCTATGTAGACTCTGGTGTCGTCCTGTCTGGGGCTTTTGGTCTGGGAAGAAGCTGGCTGAATCAATAGACACAGGTTCAACACTTTCCTGACTGCACCTCAGGACTTCTGGAATCATGGAGGGCTTCCAGGAGGAGGGATGGTAGGATCTAGAGCAAAGAGCTGATTGATGGGGGCTTAGAAACCTCCACCCTCAGAGGTGGCAGGAGAATAAGGGACATTGGGGTGGCCCTGCGGGTGAGGGGATCTAGAGATGAAGCCCAAGGCAGGATTTCGGGTACACCACAGGGGTAGATCACCTCTTGGGCAGGGAAGGCTAGTGGGACAGTGAGACCATCTCTCGCCCTTAGGCACGTAGTGATTCTTCAGGATTTCGGGTGTCCGGGGACACAGGGCTTCCGCACACCCACCAGATCTTATTAGATGAAGGACCGTTCCTCTGCTGGCAGGATTCTCTGCCTGGGGCAGGTTGTGGGGAAGATCCTGCTTACACAGCAAGCAGTGACACACCAGTGTGGGACTCGGCCTGTTCCCTGCCTCCAGGCCCTAGCAGCGTAATCTCTGAATCAAGAATGGGCACATCTCAAAACATGGCCACCCCCAAACTTCTGCAGCCTCTGCCCCTGTCTGGCCAGCCTCCCCCAGCTCACCATCTTCCTCAGACTGGGGAGGGGTGGTCTGCTCAGCTCCCAGACTCCCCAAGCCTTTGGGAACTTCCTGAAACCCCTCCCTACCCTGCCAGCCCTTCTGTCCTGAGAGGGTTCCCTTAAGTCCAGTCAGACAGCATCCTTACCCTCACATCCCCAAGGCCAGGTCCTCATCCGGGTGAGCCGGGAGTGGCTGTGGTTTTATAGGAAGGTGGTCAGGCAGTGTGGCTAAGCCCTATTGTTACATGGGCAGGTCCTCCCTTTCCCTGGGCCTTAGTCCCGCCTTTGTCCAGTGGGGGTGGGCTGGATGCCGTCTGAGCCCCCTCTGGACAGTCGTGGTGCCGTGGCCCCCATTGTCCCTCAGACCTTGTTGGTTGGTGTGACCGACGCCTGCCCTGTTTAGCCATGCGCAGACCCTGGCTCTGGCTTCTCTGTGTCCCCAGAGCCTGGCACGTGGTGGATATGGAGATAACGATTAGCACTGACTATGTCCTCAAATATTTTTCACCTTTTGAGAGATTTAATGGTAAACTCTTAATGGGTTGGAAAAGAGGCAAGGAGGGAAGGGGCCGCTGGAGGTGAGGGGAAATGCCACTGGGTCAAATGCAGTCAGAATCTAGCGGCCTGGGCTTCTCCAGCCTAGCCCACTTCGGGGAGGGGACCAGTGGGTTGGGGCCCGCACGACACCCTGGTTTTGTCTCTGCTGAGTGGCTGAAACACTACCGGGATGTCCTGAGCCCCGAAAGCAGACAAGTACCAGGCATTGAGACAGGCCTCTGGTTGGACACATCAACTCGCTATTGACGTCAAAACCTGACTGTTGACTAATCTTGAACATGTTCTTAACGATTTGAGGTCAACACACAATGTAGTGCCAGATTTAAAGAAGCCACTCATTGCGGCACGACACTTTAAGCTAACTACTGACTGAGCCCTGAGCTGCCTGCTTGCCTCCTCCCAAAAGCCCCTTGAGGTGGGTGCTCTAAGGAGCCCCTTCTCCACCTAAGGAGACTGAGGCCAAGAATGGCTCATTGACTCCCCCAGGGGCATAATTCTGGTCGTGGGTACAGATGGAGGTCACACCCAGGCGTGTCTGGATCCAACGCCCTCATGCTTAGCATTTCTCACAGAAACTTCACTGAACACAGCATTTGGGCTTCCAGGCAACAGTGATATTTTTTCTGTCAGCCTCTCTTCTGTTTAGAATTGTACTCAGATCCCCGCTTTCCTGGTCCAGCTGCCCTCAACCTGTCAGGACTGTGGGAGTCTACCTTTGCCCCTCAAACCTCTCCTCTCTCCCCCTTAGCCCCTGAGGAAGAGAGACTAACACTTGTTTCCACATCCACAAATCCCCTCGATGTTCTTCTGACAGTCTGGTTGTGTTTTTACTATTGTTTTACGTCCTCAGGCAGGACACTTCCCCTTTCTATTTTTGTCATTAGTTTAAAAAAGTGCCATAAATCTCTGCCCCTTTTTGGAGGTAAATATAGAGGGCATATTCTATATGTGTGAAGCGTTTTAAGTTTCTGTATTCTGACTAGTCAAAGCCATTTTCCCTTCCCTAATCAGAACTTAGTTAAACCTTATTTTGCATTTGCTTGAGGAAGATTGCTTATGAACTTGATCAGCTGCTTCCGGCAGTTTGAGAACCTGATGTCTGCCTACCACTTCTTGAAGGGCCTCTAGAATAGATTTGATAGAAGCATGCTTGGAAACCGCACACACCAGAGGTCCTAGGTGTAAATTGGCTTCCTTAGAGACTATATTTGTATTTGTATCTCCAGGTGCTATATTTGTATTTAATAGAGGCCTTCTGAAGATTGTATCTGAACTGAAGGGCAGTGTGTGGGGTCCCCTGGGGGCCACATTGCATCTAGTCTCTTGAAATCAAGTACTGTGGGTGGTCGCTGTTCTGACTGTGTAGAGACCTGGGTCTGTGGGTCTCTGTACCTTGATATTTTCTCCACCTTCATTGCCAAGACTGTTGTTATTCTATTTGCCAAACTCCTACCATTAAATGTGATAAGAATTAGAGTAGGGGCACCTGGGTTCCTCCAACTGAAGCATCCAGCTTCTGTTCAGGTCCTGATCTCATGGTTCGT